GCGCCGTGCCAGCGCTCCTGGCTCCCCGCCGTCCGCCGGGACGGCCGAGGCGATGGCAGAAGCGCCCTGCGCAGCAGAACAGGAGCCCAGTGCCAAGACGCCGCTTCTAACGAAGAGCTGGCAAGGAACACACCGGTGGACTCGCCGTGTTAACGACCCTCGTCTCACCGTACCCGCTCAGCTCCGGGGTCAGTTGTGGACAGAAACGGGAATGCTTAACAACCAAATAATCACTGTAATTATCTAATCTGCTCTCCTGCATGATTCTGTCTGTTGAACACTCTAATTTCTGACTTACTTGCAGCTTTGTATGATGAACTCTAGTGAAAATTTTAGAAAGATACTTGACTTTGATGAACAGATTTCAAGTAATGGAAAATTCACTGCCCCACTTAACTTCTTTCCATGGTTAAGTTGCTCTCAGTCTCAAAACACGTGCACTCCGTTTCCATTTTCAGCGTGTCCAGCTTCAAATTCCAGCTATGAGATCTTACTCTGTCTTTGTTTCGCAGCTGAAGGGCTCCCGCGGCACGTCGGCAGCGTTCCCGCTGTGCTCGGGGCTGCTCTGAGCCGCCTTCACCTCTTCCCATCCGCACCACCGTGCCCACGGGCGTCAGGGCTCCCTGCCCCTGCTCCCGGCGAACCCGGGCAGTGTCCGCGTCACAGTGTCGTCGCCGCGGCGCAGACCCCGCGGCAGACGCGGCCCTCGGCTCGGCCTGAGCTGCTGTCCCAGCCCCACGTCGAGCCCTGCCCCGTCTCCAGGCCAGCAGGGAAGGAAACCTCACGTTGTTCCTCAGCTGGCAGCGCAGCAGGGCTGGCAAACCCCGAACAAAACGGTAGTGGCTTCCCCTAGACACAGGAGGTTAGAGACCATCGGAGGAAAGCTGTGAAAACATCGCTTCTTGCGGGAAGAAATAAATGCAGAAATAAATCAGTGCACTCTGTCCAGGCAAGCGGAGGGCGGCACAGGAAGGGTCCAGCAGCCGGGCGACTCCAGAGTCTACCAAGCAACCGCTCAGGCAGCAGCAAATAAATCACTTTGGCTGAAATTTTTCAAAAGCAGCTTTGGACATCTGAGGCTCCACGGAGAGTCGTGTGACGCGCCATTTCCAGAGCACGCTCTGGTGCTGCCACTGCGTCCTCAAACCCACGTGTAGCGTGAAGCCGTCCTCCG